ACCATGTATGTTAACCATGTATGTTAACCAGGTTCAGATGTCTCTCTTTGTTCACTCGTTCTGTCTTTGCCAGTTGCCACTGATAACCATTAACACACAAGCGTATTTTAAAAAAAAAATTTTTAGCAGTAGTTGCTGAATCAGGTGGCAGGGAGTTCCCACAGTGCTTCTGCCTCATTGACAAACTCCTTGTCTCTCTTCCTCATGGCAGTGAGGTCCAGTACGTGGTACTGCAGAACGTGGCCACCATGTCAATTAAGCGTAGGGTGAGTGTCTGTGTCCTTTTTTCCCTAATGGGAGGGAGTCTGTTTGTTTGGATTGTGCCCTGCTTTTCTCCCCAACAGGGACCCAAAGCAGCATTTTAGCCACACAACCACCACCTTTGTGAGAATGGTTAGGCAGAGAGAGCCTAAGGTCATCTGATGAACTTCTGTGGTAGAGTGAAGATTCGAACCTGGGTCTCCCGGTCCGACACTCTAACTACTGATGGTGGTGGAAAGTGCTGACCCCTCCCCACAACAGACACCCTGTGAGGTGGGGGGGGCTGAGAGAGCTTTTTTGAGAACTGCTTGTGAGAGAACAGCTCTGCAAGAACTTATGACTGACTCAAGGTCACGCCAGCAGCTGCAAGTGGAGGAGTTCTCCCAGATTAGAGGCTGCTGCTCCTAACCACTACACCAGACTGGTGAACTGACCCTTCTGTCTCTGCAGGGAATGTTTGAACCCTACCTGAAGAGCTTCTACATCCGATCCACTGACCCGACCCAGATCAAGATCCTCAAGGTGAGTTACTGTGCAGAGTGACTCCAGTCTAACTGCATGGGTTTCAGTGGGTTTCACTGTGCATAGGATTGCTCCATTAAGAAGCCTGTGCTTCTTAAGCCATGTGACTTTGTTCCAAACAGGAGCGTGTGCTTCTTTTCCAGTGTGTACCCTTGCAGTGTGTGTGCGTAAGTGCTGTCAAGTCACATGGTGACCCCAGCAAGGGGCTTCCAAGGCAAGTGAGAAGCAGAGGTGGTTTGCCATGGCCTGCTTCTGCACAGCCACCCTGGACTTTCTTGGTGTTCTCCCATCCAAGTACAAACCAGGGCTGACCTTGCTTAGCTTCTGAGATGGGATGAGATCAGGCCAGCCTCGGCCAGCCACCTCAGGGTCCTGGACACACTGAGCTGGGAAAAGCCATTCCTAGTTGCTTTGCTGCCAGATCGCAGTCTTCTTTTAGCTCTGTTCTTGTTTGCAGGCATGCACATTTTGCTTGTAGTCAGGCACACTTCAGGGGATCCTGTACTTTGGTCTTGTATGGAAAGTTAAGAGTACGAGAGAGCACTGTAGTCACTGGAAAAAATGACCGAGCTGGATCCAATCGGGTTAAGGAGTCCCAGTGCTTGGTGGTTCAACTTCAGCATGGGGGACTTCATGCAGCCCCTGATTTGTATATTTAAAACATCTTAATGACCCCTTTCCACCCAGCTTAGGGACTCTGAGGTGGCAAACCATTAAAACAATATTATAAAAACAATTTAAAGCTATTAAACAAAATACATGAACCATTAAACATTCCCATTCCTTTTTTTTGTGGCCTGAAATGGGAGCAGGGATTTGCCTTATGGAGGCAGACACGTGTGTACCCTGGACCATATCACGTGGGTGTGCAGTTACATTGCTCGGGAAGAATAACTCCTTTTCCTCCCACCAGCTGGAAGTCCTGACCAACCTTGCGAATGAGACCAACATCTCTACCATCCTGCGCGAGTTCCAGGTACGGCCCTGCAGGACATAGGGGAGAGGGTGACGGATCTCGCTGCATCCCATCCTGTGCCTTCAGGAGAGCTTCTGTGAGCATAAGAAGAGCCCTGCTGGATCAAAACAGTGGTCCATCTAGTCCAGCTTTCTGTCAAACACATTGGCCAGCCAGTTCCTCTGGAGGGCCAACAACAGGGCAGAGAAGTTACCTCCTGGCTCTGGGATTCAGAGGCTTAGTGCCTGTGAACATGGCGGTTCCCCTCGGTCACCATGGCTAGTAGCCACTGGTAGACTTATCCTCAGTGAATCTATCTAATCCCCATTTTAAAGGTTGTTTATTCCTGTGGCCACCACTACATCCTCTGGCAGCGAATTCCACATTTTAATTGCTCTCTGTGTAAAGTAGTATTTCCTGTTGCCCATCCGGAACCTACTGCCCATCGGTTTCATTGGACGTGCTCAAGTTCTAGTATTTGGGGAGAGGGAGAAGAAGTTCTCTTTGCCAACTCTCTCCACCCCATGCACGGTTTTATCAACCTCTCGCATGTCCCCCCCCCCCGGTCGTCTCTTTTCTGAACAGAAAAGTCCCAGAACTCTTCAGCCTTTCCTCCTAGGGAAGGTGCTTCCACACCCTCTGCCTTGGTTGTCTTCACCTGTGCTTCTTCTCTCTGCAGACGTACATCCGGAGCATGGACAAGGACTTTGTGGCAGCCACCATCCAGGCCATCGGCCGCTGCGCCACCAACATTGGGAAAGTGCGGGACACTTGCCTCAACGGGCTGGTGCAACTGCTCTCCAACAGAGACGGTGAGAATCCCGGAAGCGCCATGGTGGGGAGAAGACAGGGCCTAGGAGCAGAGGAGACTGTGGGAATGGAAAGGCGGTTATATCTCATTCCTACCTAGACAACATATTTATTTTCTTCCATTTTATTCAGTTTATATCCTGCCCTCCCCGCCAAGGCAGGTTCAGGGCGGCTTTCATTGAGAAGTTAAAATACAATAAAACACAAACAACAGACATCGTAAAATCATGTACAGAACAAATAAAGTGCTGGTGGCGGTATGACATTGCGTAGTGATCCCAGAAGGCCATGGTGGAATAGTAACAAAGGAGTATAGCAAGGGTTGGTTACCAGTTTATCAGCCCATTAATAGAAACTATCGCAGGCTACTGGTGATAGTATAGAGGGCCTTACCACAGTTCGGATGTTGGAAGTGGCTCCTAATTGAAGGCCTGGTGGAAGAGCTCCGTTTTGCATGCCCTGCGGAACTGTAAAAGGTCCCACAGGGCCCTGATGTCTTCCGGGAGCTCGTTCCATACAGCCAGTTTGGTGTAGTGGTTAAATGTGCAGACTCTAATCTGGGAGAACCGGGTTTGATTCCCTACTCCTCCACTTGCACCTGGCTGAATGGCCTTGGGCAAGCCATAGTTCTGATGAGCTGTTCTTGAAAAAAGAGCAGTTTCTGTCAGAGCTCTCTCAGCCCCACCTACCTCATAGGGTGTCTGTTGTGGGGAGGGGAAGGGAGAGGAGTTTGTAAGCCGCTCTGAGACTCCTTTGGGTAGTGAAGGGCAGGGTATAAATCCAATCTCCTCTTCTTCTTCTTCATCCTATTTATTACAGTTGTCAAACAGAACTTACTTTGTGGCATAAAATTTATTGATATAAACTCTAAAGTTTCACTTCTTTTTAAATGTATATTCTGTCTTTTCTTCAGTACTTCGTATCTTAACATTTCATTATTACGAACACGTATTGCCTGATTCTGTCTCTTCATCATTTTCCACTTTAAACAATTCAGTTTTAGTTTTCAGCTGTATTGTCAAAAAAAGCACATTCCATTTTTCTTGAAATTCTGAATTCGATCTATTATGTAAATAAGATGTTAGTATTGCCATTGCCGTGTTTTCAATTAATTTATTCTTCCAGTCCCATCAATTCTGGACATTTTTCTACTTTCCATTTAGATGCAAATATCTCCCTTGCCACTGTTACCATATATTTCAATAGTTCACTGTGCGTTCTTGTAAAATTACTTGGTAAAATATTTAATGACATATTTTGGGTCCGTCGCAGACTTAAATTTTAACATCTTTTGCATCTCATCTCTCCATGGATCTTTATCCAATTTTGTCTTGCTTTCTCACATGCCCACCACATACGATAAAATGCTGCTTCTGTACTTTGACATTTCCAGCGTTTTCCGTTATAACTCTTACTGGTTTTAGGATTCTCCATTTTGCATTCGCTGCTACTTGCAGATACAGAGGCATTCACGTTGGCATCAGAACATCTGTACACTTTCTTCCATTCATAGCCTTTCCCCCTGCCTGGCCACCAGAGGGCTTTAGGAGGGTCCTTCGAGGGGAGGGGGGGTCAGTAATTGCTACAGCCCTTTGCAGATTTCTCTTTCAAGAAAGCCCCTCAGTGGGGGAACTGGTGACTGCAGAGAACAAAAGGAAGGGAAATGGCTGTATCCTCGGAAAATGTGTGCCTTTTTGTGTAAAATCTCTTGAACTCTGCCCTTCCCCGCAAAGAAATCGGAGGAATGCAGTCTTGGGGAACAGAGAGCCCAGGATAGGGAAGGGGGGGATGGGAGCATCGTTTGAGCCAGATGTGTGTAGGTGCTTCAAAAAAAACCAGAAACCCACAACAAAAGAAGGGTCTGGTTTGGAAGTGGAAAGAAGTCTCCACTGTAGCTGAAGCCCCAGAGCATTTGCTTGGCATCCCAGGTTCCACCCCCAGCCTCTCCATTTAAAAGGCCCAGGTGATAGGTGATGGGGAAGACCCTGATCTGGGACCCCGGCTCAGTGGAAGAGCCTCTGCTCTGCATGCAGAAGGTCTGAGGTTCCACACCCAGCCTCTCCATTTAGAAGGCCCAGGTGATAGGTGATGGGGAAGACCCTGATCTGGGACCCCGGCTCAGTGGAAGAGCCTCTGCTCTGCATGCAGAAGCCTCTCTATTTAAAAGGACCAGGGAAGAGGTGATGGGGAAGACCTTGACCCGACTCAGTGGAAGAGCCTCTGCTCTGCATGCAGAAGGTCTGAGGTTCCACCCCCAGCCTCTCCATTTAAAAGGACCAGGTGATAGGTGATGGGGAAGACCTTGAACTGGGACCCCAGCTCAGTGGAAGAGCCTCTGCTTTGCATGCAGAAGGTCCCAGGTTCAATCCCCGGCATCTCCACTTGAAAGGACCAGGTCACGTGAAGGAATTCCACTTGAGACCCTGGAGAGTCACTGCCAATCTGAGTAGGCAGTACTGCCCTTTAAGGACCAAGGGTCTGATTCAGGCTAAGGCAGCTTCATGTGTCTTCTTCACGTGGAGTCAACTTGCGTGACCTCACAGCATTTCCCCGCATTGCTTCCGCTTAGAGCTGGTGGTGGCCGAGTCCGTGGTCGTCATTAAGAAGCTCCTCCAGATGCAGCCAGCGCAGCACAGTGAAATTATCAAACACATGGCGAAGCTGACCGACAATATACAGGTGGGGAGGCTGGCGGGATTGGGGCGGGGTCAGATTGGAAGGGGGCGCTGGCGTGGGGAGGCCAGGCAAACTCAAAGATGCAGTGCCCCCTGACTGCAGGTGCCCATGGCCCGGGCGAGCATCTTGTGGCTGATCGGCGAGTATTGTGAGCATGTGCCCAAGATCGCGCCTGACGTGCTGCGCAAGATGGCCAAGTCCTTCACCAGCGAGGAGGACATCGTGAAGCTTCAAGTCATCAACTTGGCGGCCAAGCTGTACCTGACCAACTCCAAGCAGGTAAGGGCCTTCCGGGGGAGAATGGCATGGCATGGCTCTCGTGCCCAGCCCCCTTTTGTCATGTGGTTCCCAGCATGCCTCGGTTGAGGAGTGTGCCAGGGCACACGATCATATATTGCGTCCCAGCCTTTGGACTGAAAGGGTCAAGAGTGGTGGTAGTAGTTGTTGTTGTTGTTTATTACAGTCTTTAGACCAGCGTACAGCATGACGGAGTGAGCTCCTATCTCTAGTTCCAGCTCCTGCCAGCTTAGCAGTTCGAAAGCAAGAAATTGCAAGTAGATAAATAGGGACCACTTCGGTGGGAAGGTAACAGCGTTCCTTGCGCCTTGGTGTTTAGTCATGCCAGCCACATGACCACGGAAACGTCTTTGGACAGCGCTGGCTCTTCGGCTTTGAAACGGAGATGAGCACCGCAACCCTAGAGTCGGATTCGACTGGCTTTCGAGCAAGGGAACCTGTACCTTTACTTTACCTTTACAGTTTAGTCAAGTATAAAATTCAACAATAAAAAGTTTTTGAATCTTAAGAGCATTTAAGGTGCAATTCCCATAATTTGAAAATGAATGCAGAGAATTTAGCAACTTGACATGTAATCTTAGAATTATTATCCGATAAAAGCCAACGAAGCCTTGCTTTATTTGTGTTTACATGGGCTGGGGATCATATCAAGTAACCGAGTAATAATTCCAAGACGTACCTCCCTGTAGAGTGGACAGCTAAAGAACGTGTGCTCTACAGACTCAGCCTCCCCTAGGGAACAAGAGCTTAACCTTTCTGGATAGGGGATTTTATTGTACCCGCCCTCCATAACCATGGAAGGGAGAGTGAAACACCTAGCTAGAGTAAAGGTAAAGGTTCCCTTGCTCGAAAGCCAGTCGAATCCGACTCTAGGGTTGCGGTGCTCATCTCCGTTCCAAAGCCGAAGAGCCAGCTCTGTCCGAAGACGTTTCCGTGGTCATGTGGCCGGCATGACTAAACACCAAGGCGCACGGAACGCTGTTACCTTCCCACCAAAGTGGTCCCTATTTATCTACTTGCAATTTCTTGCTTTCGAACTGCTAGGTTGGCAGGAGCTGGAACTAGAGACGGGAGCTCACTCCGTCATGCGGCACCCCGGGCTCGAACTGCTGAACTACTGACCTTCCACAGCCTGCAGTTCAGCGTCTTAACCACTTGAGCCACCGCAGCTCCATAGCTAGAGTAAACACCCTTCTAAAACTATTTGCTTCCATCGAGGCCAGATATGTTGCCGGCTCAATAGTGCTTTTGACGTTTAGCAGCACCCCAAGTTTTGATGCACTAGAGATATCGAATTGCCACTCTATATCCTCGATCCTTTGTTTAATCGGCCCATTTGCTTGTTCAAGTTCCTAAGTTAAGAGTATCTGGGGAGAAAAGCCAGTTCTATTAATATGGCTACAAACAGCCTTAAGCCAACTGGTGGTCTTATGGAGTCTTCCACTGGTGCACGAAGCTGCCTTATGCTGCCTCGGACCCTTGGTCTGTCAAGGTCAGTGTTATCTGCTCTGACTGGCAGCAGCCCTCCAGGGTCCCGTCATGTGATCTCCCATCACGTGATCCTCTTTAACTGGGGATCGACCCTGGAACTTTGCATGCACAAAACAGGTGCTCTACCACTGAGCTATGGTCTTGGTCAGGGTCTTTACTGTCACCTACTCTGTGATCCTTTAAACTGGAGATGTCGGGGATTGAACTTGGGACCCTTCTGTATGCAAAGCAGAAGCTCTACCAATGAGCCAGGGTCTCAGGTCAGGGTCTTCCCTGTTGGCAAATCCCGTTTGACTGGAGACGCTGGGAATTGAACCTGAGACCTTCTGCATGCTAAACAGAGACTCTATCACTGAGCCAGGATCTCAGGTCAGGGTCTTTCCCATCACCTAATGCTCAACCCTGTTTGACTGGAGATGCCGGGGATTGAACCTGGGACCTTCTGCATGCCAAGCATTTGCTCTACCACTGAGCCATGGGCTCCTTCTCTAGCTCTTTCCTTGGAAACATCAAGTAGAGCTGGGCATTTGAAGCCCCTTAATGGTGAGCATGGGGTGGCCGTCATTCCTGGATGAAATATGTGTATGCTGTGCCAGGCAAAATGGACAAGTCACTTTTGAGAGCCAGTTTGGTGTAGTAGTTAGGAGTGCGGATTCTAATATGGGAGAACCAGGTTTGATTCCCTACTCCTCCATGTTCAGTCAGCTAGGCGACCTTGGGTCAGTCACAGCTCTCTCAGAGCTGTTCTCTCAAGAGCAGTTCTCTCAGAGCTCTCTCAGCCCCACCTACCTCACAGAGGGTGTCTGTTGTGGGGAGGGGAAGGGAAAGGAGATTGTAAGCCGCTCTGAGACTCCAAGTGAGGGGCAGGGTATAAATCCAACCTCCTCTTCCTCCTTCTCCTGTTCCTCCGCCTCCTCTTCTTCCACTTCCTCTTCCTCCTCCTCTTCCTTTTTCCTCTACTTCGTCCTCCTCTTCTGATGCCCTATGCTTCTCCTGTTCCTCCGCCTCCTCTTCCTCCTCTTCCTTTTTCCTCTTCTTCGTCCTCCTCTTCTGATGCCCCATGCTTCGCTTCCACAGGTGGGAGCACAGAGAATACAGCTTGGGAGGGAGATTGTCGCTGCATGGGAGTATATCTTCTGTGCTCTGCAGCTAACTGCATTCTCTGCTGCATGGTGCGAACATGCCTTAGAGTAAAAAGGTTAAACTCCGTTGTCTCGCCTTCCATTTCTCTAGTGTGTCCTTAGAAGCTGTGGCAGTCTCGCCACCTGGCTGGAGAGATGCTTCGGCCAGGTTGCCAAACACGTCGTCCGTGCCCAGTTTTTCTTCCTGCAGCTAACTGCATTCTTTGCTGCGTGGACTGATGGTGCGAACATGCCTTAGAGTTAAAAGATTAAACTCCGTTGTCTCGCCTTCCATTTCTCTAGTGTGTCCTTAGAAGCTGTGGCAGTCTCGCCACCTGGCCGGAGAGATGCTTCGGCCAGGTTGCCAAACACGTCGTCCGTGCCCAGTTTTTCTTTTTCTTTTGCCGTCTCTGCCGCAGAGCAAGCTGCTGACCCAGTACGTGCTGAACCTAGCCAAGTACGACCAGAACTACGACATCCGGGACCGTGCCCGCTTTATCCGCCAGCTGATTGTGCCCACCGAGAAGAGCGGACTAAGGGACCGCCTTTCCCTGCATGTTCCCCCAAGGGCACTACGGTCGGGGAGCCAAAACCTTCTGGATATTCCAGGCCCCAAGACCATCAAACTTGCTGTGACCAGGGCCAGGGCGTTTTCGGTGGTGGCTCCTACCTGGTGGAATGAGCTCCCAGAGGAGATCCGGGCCCTGTGGGACCTTGTGCAGTTCCGCAGGGCCTGCAAGACGGAGCTCTTCCGCCAGGCTTTCGAGTACGAGCCGCCGCCATCATTATTCCACCAATGCTTCTTCCATCACCGCACTCTACCATCGCTGGTGCGAGACGTCCCTAGTGAATGACAGGGTTGTGGGGACATATGTTGTTGTTGTTTTGTCATAACATCTTTAGAACACCATCCTGGCTTTATGTTTCGGAGTGAGTATTGGAGCACCGATTTTTATTGTTAGTAATTTTAATTATTGTACTATGTTGTATTATGTATTTTATACTGTTTTATTGTTATAATTTGGCATTTATGCCCTCTTAGCTGCCCTGAGCCTTCGGGGAGGGCGGGATACAAATCTAAAGAATAAATAATAAATAAAAATTGTGTGTACTAGGTGCAGCAGCGCATGTGTGTTTTGGGGGCCATGCTCTGAGAGTGGCGCATGATACAACCGCCTTGCCAGGAGCAAAGCATCTTTGAGACTTGTCCGGGTGGGAGATCCCCTGGGACTCTTCCATACATGTCCTGGACTTCTCACATTGGAAGAAAGAGCAGATACCAACGTAGCTAATAATAATCTGCTGAGAGGTCATTGCCGGCTTTGTGCTCCTCCTAGATCGTGACCATTTCCAGCTGGGCTCGCTTTCCCATCTCCTCAACGCCAAGGCAGTGGGCTACCAGGAACTCCCCGACTGGCCCACCGAAGCTCCAGACCCGTCCGTGCGCAACGTGGAGGTATCTTCTTGTTATTTGCTTGCACGTAACGGGACGTGAGAGCCCCCGAGACCAGAGCTGCACGCCAGTAACTGAGAGCCAGTTTGATGTGGTGGTTAGGAGCGCGGACTCTAATCTGGGAGAACCGGGTTTGATTCCCCGCTCCTCCACATGCAGCTGCTGGTGTGACCTTGGGTCAGTCACAAGTTCTCTCAGAGCTGTTGTCTCAAGAGCAGTCCTCGAAAGAGCTCTCTCAGCCCCACCTACCTCACAGGGTGTCTGTTGAGACTCCTTTGGGTACTGAAGGGCGGGGTATAAATCCAATCTCTCTTCTTCTGGGAAGGGGCTTGACCAGGGCTCCCCTGTAACCTGTCACTGCATGAATTCCTGGCCCGTGTGGCTTCCTTAGCGTGCTCGGCTTGCCCTTTCCGAGGGAAGCAAAGGCCGTTTTGTTGGCTCTCATGGAAGATGTCCCTTCCCTGTTCCTTTCAGGAAGAGTCAGTTGGTCCCGTGGAAAGCCACATTGGGTTGCTGGGGAAGCCGAAAAAGGTGGCGCTTGGGCCTGCAGTGGTGCTCTCTCTTTCCCCCATCCTCGCTTGCGCTGTGATTTCTCTCTCCTCCTCCTGATTCTCCTCCCTTCTGCTTTGCACGTGGTCCTGTCTGACGTGAACTTGGTGGTGCGTGCTGTTTCAAACCAGATTGGGGTCTGCGGAACTCACAGCCACTGTGGTGCTGCTGGTACAGTGTCAGACCAAGACTAGGGAGTTTTGCATTCAAATTCATCGTGAGCCATTAAGCTCAAGGTGGTCTTGGGCAAGTCACTCGGCCTAACCTCCCTCACCGGGTTGGCATGAGGTTGTGAGCACACATAAAGTGCTGTAAAGTCGCAGCTGACGTCTGGTGGCCTCGTAGGGTTTTCAAGGCAAGAGACTTTCAGAGGTGGTTCTGCCATTGCCTGCCTCTGTATAGAGACCATGGAATCCCTTGGTGGTCTCCCATCCAAATGCTAACCAGGAACGACCCTGCTTAGCTTTCGATATCTGTCCATCCAAGTCAGGGCTAGGTAAAGCTAAAGGTTCCCTTGCTCGAAAGCCAGTCGAATCCGACTCTAGGGTTGTGGTGCTCATCTCCGTTTCAAGGCCGAAGAGCCAGCGCTGTCCGAAGATGTTTCCGTGGTCATGTGGCCGGCATGACTAATCACCAAGGTGCACGGAACGCTATGTGAGACTAAAATAAGAGAACTTCATGTGCTTTGCTTTGAGTGGAAGAAAGAAATGGTACCTATTTCCCCGTATGTTTCCCCAAGAGCACTGAGATCTGAGTTGCAGAATCGTTTAGCCCCCCCTGGCCCTAGGGACGCTAAGTTAACAGCGACAAGAACTAGAGCGTTTTCCCTAGCTGCACCAGTATGGTGGAATCAGCTCCCAAATGAAATTCGAGCTCTGTGGGATTTCCACCGATTCCGTAGAGCGGTAAAGATTGAGCTGTTCCGGCAAGCGTTTAATAGCCCAGATCACATTGATTGTTCTAGCACTTTATAATGGATGGCCGCCATGCTTAAACTGTAATTTTAATTTTAATAAGTTATATTGGCTATTTTACTGATTGTATTTTTTTAGATGTGAGGTTATACTGGTTTTTAAACTATTGTAAGCCGCCCTGAGCCGCTTCGGCGGGAGGGCGGGGTAAAAGTCAAATAAATAAATAAATAAATACGTAGTATTATATTTGTATTTGCTGGATTTTCCCCACACACACCTTCTCTAAGGTGTCCTGGATGATATACAGAGTTCCCTGCCATCATCTTCACAGCAACCCTGTAAGGTAGGATAGGCTGAGGGAGATTGCCTGTCCCAAAGTCGCTCAGTGAAATTCACAGCAGAGCAGGGATTCGAACCCAGGTCTCCTGAGTCACAACCAGCACTCTCTCCACTGCACCACACTGGTTCTCCGTTTGTGTGTGTTTGCATGCACCCCCTCCAGTAGCCATCAGAGTGAACCTCAAGAATGCCAAAGGCTGAAGGAGCCTAGTTTTGTGGATGCAATTCTTCTCCAGGCATCCTGCCATGCACAGAGATGTGCATTTTCTTGCAGAGCTAGATTCCAAAAATCTCTGTTCCCCTTCGGACGGCTGCCCAACACAAGGCTATATCCCTGCACAGATTTTTGCCTCCATGTAGGAAAAAAGTGCTCTCCTAAAGTGCAACAAATGCTTGTGTCTGTTTTTTATTTTGTGCACACATGGATACCGATTGCAGCCAATTGTAGACATTACATGTTAGGGTTTCTGTGATTCCCCCTGCAGAAGTGCAAATCCATACAGGGAATCCATGTAGTGTGAGACCGATAACTGCTCTGTCCTCCTCCTGGGCTGTTCTCTCTTGCCCGGTCTGGTTCACGTATGGGGCGGTTTGCACACTTGTTCTGTCCCTTGCATTGAAATGCTTGCTTGTGACTGCCTTTGATCTGGCCAGGTCCCTGAATGGACCAAGTGCACCAGCCGTGAGAAGAGGAAGGAGAAGGTGGAGAAACCGTTCTATTCTGACTCTGAGGGGGAGTCCGGCCCAACGGAGTCTGCCGACAGTGGTAAGGAGGACACGGCCCAGAGAGTTTGCACTGAGGCCTGATTTGAAACATAATGCTGGTGAAGCAAAAGGGCTCCTCCCTCTCTCCCTCCCTCCTTCCCTCTCCGTGTCGTCTTCAAGCTTCTGCAAGCCATGCAGAGTAGCTGCTGCGTCCTTAGTTTGCACACCAGTGATCCAGAACCTGTGCAGAGGTCTTGGTGTGGTGACTGAGGCTGCGTAGGTTTGTTGCAGCACCGTTTAAAAGGGACATTGAACCAGGGTTGCCAGCTCTGGGTTGGGAAATACCTAGAAATGTTGAGGGTGGAGCCTGGGGTAGGGAGGAAATGTAGCTGGGTAGAATGCCATAGAGGTCACCCTCCAAAGCAGCCATTTTCTCCAGGGAAGCTGATCTTGATTGTCTGGAGATCATTATAATAGAAGGAGATCTCCAGGTGCTCCCTGAAGGGTCGGCCTTACTTACTTGCATTGAGACTCTAAGGGCTGATACATTTGCTGTTCGTGACATTGGAGGGAGCTGTTTTTCCAGCCAAGGATTAGCTCTCCCCAAGCATCTTTCTGAGCCCCAAAGTAAAAGTAGGGGGTTTTGAGCAGGCACAATAAAGACGAACCCCCACATTGAACACTTAACATGCAGAAAGTGGATCTGATAGGAAACATGTCTGAAAACGTAAGAAAAGTGCTGTTGGATCAGACCAGGGGTCCATCTAGTCCAGCGTCCTGTCTCACACAGTGGACAACCCGTTCCTCTGGAAGGCCAACAACAGGGCACAGAGGCCGAGGCCTTCATAAGAAGATCAGAAGAGCCCTGCTGGATCAGACCAATAGTCCATCTAGTCCAGCGTCCTGTCCCACACAGTGGCCAACCAGTTCCTCTGTAGAGCCAACAGCAGGGCATACAGGACAAGGCCTTCCTAAGAACACCAGAAGAGCCCTGCTGGTTCAGACCAGGGGTCCATCTAGTCCAGCATCCTGTCTCACACAGTGGCCAACCAGTTCCTCTGTAGAGCCAACAGCAGGGCATACAGGACAAGGCCTTCCTAAGAACACCAGAAGAGCCCTGCTGGTTCAGACCAGGGGTCCATCTAGTCCAGCATCCTGTCTCACACAGTGGCCAACCAGTTCCTCTGTAGAGCCAACAGCAGGGCATACAGGACAAGGCCTTCCTAAGAACACCAGAAGAGCCCTGCTGGTTCAGACCAGGGGTCCATCTAGTCCAGCATCCTGTCTCACACAGTGGCCAACCAGTCAAAGCAGGGGTCCTCAACATGGCACCTTTCCTGGCACTTGCTAAGTGTTTTTAGAAAGTGACAGAGCCAGGTGAGGCTTTTCCCTCACAGAGCTTGACTGACCACTGGAGATTTGACGGGCTGTGCAGATTTTTTAAAAAATGTTGTGTTGAGGGCAGCTGCTATCACAGCACAGGGATCTTCGCTGGGTGACTACGGCAAGCTATGGCAGCCATTTTGTGGCCGGCTTCACCTCCTGTGGCAGCCATTTTGTGGCTGCACCCACCACACTGTCCTGGAACTTCAAAGGTGCCTGCAGGCTTGAAAAGGTTGACCCCTGAGTTAGAGCTGCTGCCCGTTGGAGCTGACAACACCGAGCTTGGTTGTCCCGATGGCCTGACTCACTGCAAAGGCAGCTTTGCATATGAACTCTTTAATACATGAACTGCACTGCCTGAAGGTCTCTTGAGCAGCATTGGGGGTAGGGAAGCCCTTCACTGGGCCTGGGGAGATAAACAGAAGGCTTCTTTTCTCTCTCTCTCTCTCTTTTTTTTTTTTGCCAGAGCCCGAATCCATCAGCGGGTCTCCCAGCGAGAGCGGCAGCGAGAGCGGAGCGGTTCTGGTTCCGGCAGCGATGAGGACGAAGAGGAGGACGAAGAAGAGAGCGGGGACCAGTCGGACGAAAAAGAGGAGAAGAAAAAGAAGAGGAAAGAGACTCCAAGGAAAGTGTCGCTGGATAGTGCGGAGAGGTATGGTGCATCCTGTGGTCAACATCCACACATTGGGAGAGTCCTGCCCGTAGCCCCCTCAGGTGGTGTTTGGAAGGGGGGGAAACAACGCCTGTGTACAACATCTGATAGCACGTGCAGCATAAGCATGACCCCTCACAGACCTGTCCCTTGTGATGTTGTATTCTTTTACACATCTGGGGATGAGGAAGTTATGCTTCTGTTTCCTAGGACTTAGTTTCTGGACGGGCTCGATTGATTGCCAGGTTTCTTTGTAGAGATCTTACTATGGTCACATCAGTTGTTTTCACCTGTTTTGGATTCAGCTGCCATTTTTCATGGTCCTCATTCCCACCGGGCATCCCCAACTTGGTTGAGTCTGCAGTCTGCAGGCCCATTTGGGGGTCGGCACAAAATGGCTGCCGTGGAGCTGAGGCGGGTCATAAAACGCTGCGGCATTCCAAGAGCTGACCTGCTCCAGAGTCAGTGGTTCCCAAAGGTGTTCTTTCAGGAGATGGAAACACAGTGCATCTTGGGCATTTCTGAAGCAGCCATTTTGTCAAAGAGGTGTAGCAGAACTGGGTTTACACCCTCTCTTTGGGGACAGAGAGGGGTGTGTCATTTCAGTTTCCAGAGGGGAGGATTTGTTTCTGGCACGGTCGCTGGGAGAGGGTCGTCAGGTCCAAAGAAATAACAAAATGGCGGCCGATGGATATGCCGTATGCAAATCATCAAAATGCCCTCCCCAACCGGTTCCTGTTCAGAAGTGGGAGGTTCCAGAGAATCATGCCAATCTTTGGCCTTCTTCTTGTCCCCAGCGAGGAGGACGAGGGGGAAAAGAAAAAGTCACAGCTGCGTGAAAGGAAGCGGGACTCGGAATCCTCGTCGGAGGAGGAGGAAGAGGGCAGCGTGTCCGAGAGCAGCTCATCACAGTCAGATTCTGGCTCTGAAGCGGAGGAATCCCACTCGGAGGTGGAGACCAAGAAGAAAAGGACGGTGAGTGGCTGGGAGGAGAGTCAAGGATACCGGGAGCTGTGAATCCATGCAGCACCAGCAGGTTTCTCTTCTCTGGCCTTGCTGGTCTCGGAAATGTGTGTTGACTCACTTGCTGAGTTCACCTGTTTGTAGCACAAAATAAAATTTGCGTTAGCTATGTTGGGGGCTCTTGTCCCTGTGTCTGGAAAGCAATTTGTGCCTGCTTTCTCTCTTTATCGAAAGCCAGTGTTCTTGTGCCAGTATTACCGATAGGGGAACTTGATCTCTGTTCATAAACAGATGAGCCAGGAAGTCTTTGGGGTTCTGTGTTCCTTCCCCTCGGGTCCAGCTGGGAGTTGAAGACTTCCTGTGAGGTCCAAATTGGGCAAAACAGTAAACTCTGGGTTTTCCCCCTCTTGCCTGTAAATCAGGGTTCTAAACCCCGGTTTGTAGGCAAGAGAGTAAGCCGCAGTTTGTCCTTTTGCTCAGCCTGGTTGTTGCAGCCAACTCCTGTTTGTTCTGAACGAGGAAGTCTTCAGTCTCCAAGACTAAAAAATTCCAAGCACGTGCGAGGGAATGAGGAAGGGAAGAGGGAACACGGGATCCCGAGGGCTTCCCAGCCGCTTCTCATTCAGGACAAATTGAGGCTTGTTCATAATATCTGAACGCAGCCAGTGGCATCTGTGCATGTCTAAACCGAGATCCAAACCCGGGTCTTCCAGCTCCTACTTTTAGTCACTGCCGTGTTTGCTCTCAAGGCATGAGTGATCCACATGATCCCCTCCAATCTCTGTGCCCAGCAGGGAATAGTAGATTTGGCTGATCCTTATAGGTGGACTCCTGATTTCCTGACCTTTTCCCCTCTCTTCCAGCCACCTAGCACCAAACCTGCCCCAAAGCCACAGAAGAAAGGGACAAAGGAGATCTCCCTGCTTGACCTAGATGACTGTAAGTGCATTGCACCGAGGCCATTGTGAATATGTTCTACAGAGCAAGCAATGTTCCCTCTAAGCAGTGGAGTCTTGTGAGCAAAAATTCTGTTTTGTGAGCTACTGGCATTAAAGTTGTGAGCAAGCGATTTGGCTACTGCATAAATTTGTTTGCTCTGGAGCCATCCTTCCTGAGCTCAGACACAAATGTGTGAGCTGGAGGCTAAAAAACTGTGAGCTAACTCACACTAACTCAGCTTAGAGGGAACACTATGAGCAAGTGCTCTGTTCTGCTCGCTGTCTTGGCCTTTGCCATAACTACTTCGGTGCTGTTCCTTCTCTTTGTATAACAAACATAGCAATGTGTGAATTTGTCTTAAACTGATATATTTAGCTCCATATGCCTCTTCTGATTGGCAGTGACTTTCCAGGATTTTGGCCTGAGGAAATCTTCCCCAGCACCTGCTTTCTAAGATCCTTTTAACTGGAGATGCTGCGGACTGAACCTGGGGCCTTTTGCATGCCAAACGGATGCCCTGAGCCAGGGTCTCAGGTCAAGGGCTTTCCCATTAGCTATACTTTTTAACTGGAGATGCTGGGGATTGAACCTGGGACCTTCTGCATGCAAAGCAGATGCTCTGCCACTGAGCCAGAGTCTCAGGTCAGGGTCCTTTTTGGTCTCAGGTCAAGGGCTTTCCTGTTACCCACTATTGGCCTTTGCTGGGATTGAACCTGGGACCTTCCGGGCAACGGCGCAGCGCCGAGGGTGTTTAGCTGGGTCACTCCCGGCTTCCCCTGTCCCTCTCTGTTCAATTTTGAGCCCCCTTTTGGTCCTTGGGGCCGAGGGGGCTCTGCCGGACCTCTTGGAGGGAGGTACGGTGGCAGGGGAGTTGGTCGGTTGCCCCGCGAACGGCGGTGAGCGGGGTGAGCCCGACTTGTTCTGAAGCAAGAACAGAGAACGGAGCCACATGGCTTCCATGTCTGCACAGCTGTGATCGCCCCGTTTTTAAAGACCATTGAAATTAAAATGACTAAACACAGTAACCAGAAGCGTGAGTACGTGTATTTTGCAGCTATAAAATGGCGAAGAGATCGAGTATCTCCAAATTTGAGAATAAAAGCGGCTAAGAAAAGTAAGTGAGGAAAAAAGTATTTGGAAAGATTCTGAGGGCAAAATCGTATCGGCTGGAATCTATAATTAAATAGGAGAAAAGTCAGTGTGAACCACAAAACTACTATGTTTTACCCCATAAAGAAGATGGGAATATAAGGACTTGTTTGATGAATTTATAACTGCATGGCGAAATAAGAAAATGGTGGCGGCAATGAAGACTGAAGAGGCACCATCAGGAGAAGCGGAAGAGAGAGGCGACTTAGAGAGTATAGAAATTGCACAATTTACCTGGGAGCAATTTCAAAGATTTTTGGAGGATAAGGTACGGCGAGCGGCAGAGATGGCTTGCAAAAATCTCATTGAAAAACTCCAGAGCCCACATTTGGATTCGGAAAAGGAGGAGGGGTTTCTACAGACTCAGCAGAGTTCCGAGGAGAAGCAGGAAAGGCTTCAGGGGAGGGTGTTACAGGATACACCCACTATTGGCCTTTTAAATGGGAGGTGCTGGGGTTTGAACCTGGGACCTTCTGCATGCAAAGCAGATGCTCTACCACTGGAGCCAAAGTCTCAGGTCAAAGTCTTTCCTGTTATCTCCTGCTGACTTTTTAAACTGGAGGTGCTAGGGTTTGAACCTGGGACCTTCTGCATGCAAAGCAGATGCTCTACCACTGGAGCCAAAGTCTCAGGTCAAGGTCTTTCTTGTTATCTCCTGCTGACTTTTTAAACTGGAGGTGCTGGGGTTTGAACCTGGGACCTTCTGCATGCAAAGCAGATGCTCTACCACTGAGCCAAAGTCTCGGGACAAGGTCTTTCCTGTTACCCACTATTGACCTTTTTAACTGGAGATACCAGGGATTGAACTTAGGACCTTCTGCATGCAAAGCGGATGCTCTACCACTGAGCCAGAGTCTCAGGTCAAGGTCTTTCCTGTTACCTCCTACTGACCTTTTTAGCTGGAGATGCCAGGGTTTGAACCTGGGACCTTCTGCATGCAAAGGGGATGCTCTGTCCCTGAGTCACACACCCCTCCTTGTCTTGCACACTGCAGTTCTTGTCCGTCAAGCTGCAGAGTAGAAGCCCCTCTTCCTTACCCATGTGCCTCCAAAGGGACAGATGATACTAGGGACGTGGACTGCCAACAGGCAAGGAACAGCTGCCAAAGCAAATCCCTGATGCACAGGGAGCTGGCTTTGAAGTGCTTTCCCTTGGGGCTTCAGCAGCCAGCAGAGCTGCTGATGCAGCCTGACGACACCCCTGGTTTTTGGAATAAAGCTTGTTGGGCCACGGACCCCTGGGAAAGAGGCCAAGCAGCCAGCCCCTAGGAAGACTTCAGTCGAGGTAGCTCTTAGCCACATCTTTCTTGCTTTCACACTTTTGTCCCTCCCCACTCATTGTGTTTTCCCCCCATGACACCCTTCTCAGGGGGGGAAATTCCACGAATTCCTGAAAAATCAAACCGAGCCCACTGCCATGTAATTTATACAAAGTAACCCTAAGCAAATTCGCAGACTTTTTTTTTTTCAGTTGCAGCAATCTTGGGTTGCAGAATTCCAGAATATTCACACACACACATGTGCTGTTCAGTTTTTTATTTTTGGCTTATTACATTTCTCTTCTACTGTTCCTCCATCTGGGGACTCAAGGCGATGCTCGTAAATTTCCCAGGAGATCTCCCATCCAAGCACAGTCCTAGTTCTGCTCAGCTTCCACCAGTACGCTGCATTTGTATGCCTTCCTACCAGTCTGGGGGATGAGGAACGTTATGTTTCTGAATTTCAGTTGGAGACACACTTTCCTCTTCCAGCCTCGGTGGTTTATTTTCATGGTGTGACCTGCCAATTTACATCAACAATTACATAATAATGGGTACTTCTTGGTGCTTCCCAGTCTTGCTTCCCTGAGCAAGCGCTCCGTAGTACCCCCACTGAAAACTGTGGTACACTTGTTACCTTCCAAGAAAATCACCTGCTGCATCTTTGGGTAAGTTGCTGTTCTGATTGGGAAGAGGTGTGCCCCTGTAGAGTTGAAGACAAAGAGGAGATTGGATTTATATCCTGCCCTTCATTACCCAAAGGAGTCTCAGAGTTGCTTACAAACTCCTTTCCCTCGCCACAACAGACACCCGGTGAGGTAGGGGGGCTGAGAGAGCTCTGACAGAAACTGCTCTTTTTTCAAGAACAGCTCTGACAGAACTATGGCTTGCCCAAGGACATCCAGCCGGTGCAAGAGGAGGAGTGGGGAACCAAACCTGGTTCTCCCGGATTGGAGTCTGCGCACTTAGCCACTCCACCAAACTGCCTCCTGCAGATGGCTTGCATCAGGTGCAACTGGGATCAGTCTGTCTCTCATGGTGGAGAAACCAGGACTATGATGGTGTGTGGTTCACCTCCCTCAGGGACAGAAAGGGCAAAAAACTGAACCTTAACACTAAAATTCAGAACCTAACAAAGGTTATTATTGGCCCTCTTTTTCACATTTTACTAAACTTTGTTAGGTTCTGAATTTTAGTGTGCACCTCCCGGCTAGAGCCATTCATTCTATAACATACTTATTTTGCTTGGAACGCCAGCAGGTTTCCTTGAGTGATGCTCGTATACAGCATACCGCAGTTTGGGACACTGGCTCCTGTAGAGCAAGTGATCTGTCCATGGTGCTGGAAGACCGTCCTCTCATTCCTGGCCAGTCAGCTAATTTCTAAGCCATTTTCTTTCCTACCTTACCGATTCCTGTACTGCCTCCGTTCCCGTTTAGCCTCTTTAATTAGCTTCATTAACTCTTTAATTTCCTGCTTCCTCTGCCCTACAGTCACACCTTCTCCCTTGCCATCGGTCCTTTCCAGCCCTGTCGTCTCCACCAGCCTGGTGACCGACCTAGAGGGACTCACGCTGACTGACACTACTTTGGCTTCTGCTGTAAGTGAGCTTCGTTACTCTTGCCAATACAGTCTCAACCGTCTCCCCAGAATTCAGGACCTCGGTGTCTTTGGGACCGCTGGAAGCCTTGCGATGTTGGCTCGAATAGAAATTAACCCCATTGGGTGTACTGTCCAAGATCCAAGGGGGTTCATGGAAAATCCTGGTTTCTGGTTGTTCACACGAATGGTCTTTGTGTCTCCTGAAGGGCGGCAGTTGTCCTCAAACCATCCGACCACTGTAACAACTGCTTTCTTCGAAATTAAAAAAGGAGTAGTCATTTCTCTCCCCCTGCCCCAAAATTTGTAGGGGTTCATGTCTTCCAGTGGCTCTTCCAAGACTTCCTTTCCCACCTGTCTCTCTCCATTACCTGGTCAACCTTGGTTTATCTCCCTGATCTCCTTTCTCCTCTTGCCGGCGCAGATGATCAGCCCTGTGTTTGGCGTGGTGAAGACCTACGAGCTGCTGCACCGTATGACGGGCGAGGGTCTCTCCGTCGAGTATCACTTCAGCCGGCAGCCTTTTACGGCCGACTCCCAGATGGTGGCCGTCCAGATCCAGATTTCCAACAACACGGCCACCGAGGTGAAGAACATCCGCATCAGCGAGCCAAAGCTCCTCTCGGGCATGCGCATCCAGGACTTCAAGGAAATTGGTAGGACTCGTGTGTGGCTTATCTGACTCGGTACCTGGGGATTTAGTTAGCCAGGTTGCCTGTTTGAAGTGGCACTTGCCTGCTCTTAGTTCCACCAGCTTGCCTGACAGTAATGCTTCTTCACAGATCAGCATCGGCCCCTTCTGGGTGGGAACAATTCTGCCTGGGAATGCTGCCCGCCACCCAGCATAACAAACCTAGCTGATGTGGGGGTATAGGGTGTCTCTTGTCCTGAAGCAGTAGTCAGAGACTTCTGGTGCTGAGTCTCAGAGTTGGACCACCAGGGTCATCTAGTCCATCTCCCTTCCAACACAGAAATGACAACTCTAATATCCCCAGCAAGTAGGTATCCAGTCCGAGGAATCCACCATAGTGGTGGCACAGCCATAGTTCTGGTAAGAGCTGTTCTTAAAAAAGAGCAGTTTCTCTCATAGCTCTCTCAGCCCCACCTACCTCACAGGGTGTCTGTTGTGGGGAGGGGAAGGGAAAGGAGTTTGTAAGCCGCTCTGAGACTTCTTTGGGTAGTGAAGGGCGGGGAATAAATCCAATCTCCTCCTCCTCCTCACGAGGGAGCCTGTTCCAGTGTCGAACACATCTCACTGTCGAGGAGTTCATCCTCAAATTTAAATGAAACCGCCTTTGTTATAGCTTATTTCCAACTTGTCCATCATGGCAACTCCTGTTCTGTTTGAAACTCTGGATTTTTACATTCTTTTTCACCCCAGCTTTCTTCCAAGGAATCAGAGTGGCATACATAGGCCTTACCTACACAAGAGTCCTGTGAGGCAGATTAGGGCGAGAGGGGATGAAAAGAGAAAGACGGGTCCTTAGATCACCTACCAAGCTTTGTGGCCACACAAGGTTTTGAACCTGGGTTTCTTAGATCTTCGTCTGGCACGTGAACCACAACCCAGCCCTGACCGTGCTGAGCTTAGGGACCTGGCCTTAATATCCTTTCGATCCTCTTGATATAAGGGGACAGCATGGGATGCAGCTCTTTCCCCCGAAGATGTGTTAAGGACCTTTCTCTTTTCTTTGCAGAATCCTTGCCTCCTGGAGAGACTGTCAACGTAGTGGTGGGCATAGACTTCTGTGATTCGACCCAGGCTGCCAGCTTCCAGTTGTGGTGAGTACTGTCCTCACAGACTTCGCACAAAACAGAGAGCCGTAGCAGCTTTACTCCCTATGGTAGGAAGAGGAGGCACAACACAGCGGGAGATTTGCCCTGTTCTTGCTGCTTACATAGGTACGGAGTTGCACATGCAGCAGTGCTCTTAGCAACCCTCTCGTCCTTGCAGTATTTTTCAGGTTCAGCTGTATTGAACCCAAAAAATATCAGTATTTCCTGATATTCCCAAATCCCAGTACAGGTATGGTATGCAGATTCAATAAATATTTGGGATTCCCGAAATTTTTCAGCTCCATTATACCCCATGGGGACCCTTATAGTCAATGGTCCCCATAGTGTATAATGGAGAATCAATCCAGGGATATCTGGGGCTCTTTGAGGGCTGCTTTTTGAGATAGAAGCACCAAATTTGCAGCATAGCTGCTGATGCCTCTCCTCAACCCCCCCCCTTTCAAAAAGATTGGACCAGGGGGTCCAATTCTATGAGCCCCCAAAGAAGGTGCCCCCATCCTCCATTATTTCCAATGGAGGGGGGGAAGGCATTTAAAGGGAACACAGTCCCTTTAAATGCCTTTTGCAAGCCAAGCTGTGAGTGAACTCTGAAGTGGCGAGTTCACCCAGAAGGTATCACCAGATAAGGTATTTTCCCGTAATTTTTTCAGCTCAGTATTGCCGAATGCACACCCCTAGTCCCCAGTGGAGGCTTTCTCCAGGTCTGCTACCTGTGGTCCTTTTAATTGGCGAGTCCTTTTAATTGGCAATTTGGTAAGCTCCTGTGTTCACATCACCTGCTACAAGAACACTTTTTACCTGGAGATGCTGGGGTTTGAACCTGGGACGTTCTGTATGCCAAGCAGATGCTCTGCCACTGAGCCATGGCCCCTCCCTAATGAAAGCTGGTTGCAAGAGGAGTCTTAAATCCACATCAGTGGAGTTTCTTGAGCTGTGTTCACTAGAGGGCTCCCTCCTGGTCATGCCATGGCACTGGCACTGAGCCGTGGCACTTGAGCCTCAATCTAAATTAATTCAGCTGGTGGTTTAGAAAGTGATCCCTTTGTCTGGGTGAGATCTCGTTAAACCCCAGGCCACCTCTCCTGAATAGAGAGTTTATTTATTTTATTATTTCATTTATACTCTGCCTTTCACCCCCATGGATACTCAAAGTGGCATACATTGTTACCCTTCCCTCCATTTTACCCTCACAACAACCCTATAAGGTAGGTTAGATTGAGAGCGTGTGACTGGCCAAAGGGCACCTAACAAGCTTCCCTGGCAGAGTGGGGATTCAAACCTGGATCTCTCAGGTCCTAGTCTGATGCTCTAACCCAGAGATATTGAACTCATTTGTTATGAGGGCTGAATCTGACATAAATGTCACTTTGTTGGGCCTGGCCATGCCATAAAATGTAATGCCAGGTACCGGAGATAGAAACTGTATAAAGGACAGCAGCTGGTAAGCTTTGAGTTGTTGTATCCTCACTGCAAAGCCCCATGGGCTGGGAGGGGGGTGCAAAGGAAAACCCACACGGGTGGACTGGAGAGCCAGCGGTGCAGCACCGGGCAGACGCGCCCACGCCGCCTGACTGCTGCAGACGAGGTTGTTCCGCCATGCTGAAGCCACAATCGGAGTGGCTCCGCCCACTCCCCTCCGAGCAGTCTCCTGTTCCCTCCCTTGCACTAGTAGCTCGCGGGCCACATAATAGCCCTGGAGGGGCCAGTTCCGGCCCTCGGGCCTTATGTTTGACACCCCTGCTCTAAACCCTACACCATAGTGAGTTGAGATTGGGGCTACACCCATTTCATCTTGGCTTGTATCTCTCTCTCTCTCTCTCCAGCACGCACACACGCCAGTTTTACGTGTCCATCCAACCCCCGGTGGGCGAACTCATGGCTCCTGTCTTCATGAGCGAAAACGAGTTCAGGAAGGAACAAGGTAAAGGGCAGGGGGCCACCCCTCTCCTCCTACCCCACCGCTGTTCAGGCAGACAGTGGCAAAAAACCCCAACACCTTGGCAGGGAAGTTCCAAAGCCGGGACTTTGCGGGGAGGGGGGGAAGGTTTTGCAGCGTCTTACCGCCTTCCTTTGTGTTGCTGCAGTGCCCTTATCAGAGCAAGGAACACCCACCCCCATGACCTCACTTCCTGCCAACCCTCGACAAAGGTTTGCACTGGGACCCTTTCTCCACTGTGGCTGGCCGGTGAGAGAGTTAGGAGAAAGGTTCCCGCGAGGAGGGGCCTCCTGCCCAGGCTGGCCATGGCTGTGGGGAGAGCGCCCCCCTCAGGCTGTGCTGGCAGCTGGCGCTAACTGTGTTTTCCGTTCTCCTCTGCTGCCTGGTGCATTCTCGCTTTTTGTTTTTTGTTTGTTTCCCTTTAGAGCAACTGTTAAGGATGGGTGTGGGTAAGTGCCAGCACAGGTAGCTACTTCCCCGCGGATGCTGTCTGCTCCTCCTAGCCCAAGTGCTAGCACTGCTTCCACTGGGTGGTGCCCCCTCTTCTAACTGTAGTAGCAGCACTGCTTCTGCCCTGGGGAGACGGTCCTCTTGCCTAGCTACTGAACCACTAGCTTTGCTTCCACTGCAGGCACAGAGAAACCTTTCCTCCTCACCCCTACCGTTAGCACCACTTCCTCTCTGGGCACGCCCGGTCCCTCCTGCTGCCGTTTCGAACTGTTGCCCTTGGGTTTCTCCTGCCCTATAAACCCGAAATGGGGTGATGTCATGGGAAACAGTCGATAGATTCAGGTATCCAGAGAAGTGTGCCTGCACACAAAAGCTTATGCCCAGAATAAAACTTTGTTGGTCTTAAAGGGGCCCCTGGACTCAGATTTTGTACTTGTGAGAAACTGCAGTTTGCCATAAATCTTAAAGGTCTCTCACAATGTGGCTGTGTACAAGGAGAAGTGCATAAAACCTGCGGTTCTCTCTGCTCCTCATTTGAGTAGTGGCAAGTTATCATTAGCTGTTAACATACCAGCCACTGAGTCAAAGGTGGCCCAGAGCTAAGATTCCAAGCCTTCTTTGTCATCTGGATATTCCCGTTTCCTAAAAAGCCTCGTAGCATCTGTTAGCTGTGGTATAGCAGTGCTAGAAGTTGTGGTGTTAGCTAGCTCCTTTGTTTTATTCAGTTACTAAATTTTCATCCTGCCCTTTGTCCCAGGAACTTAGGGTGTGTTTTTCAAGGACACTTCTTTTCTCAGTTAAACTGCTAATAAAGCAGGGATCCTGGTTTCGCACGTTGGGGATTGAAGCGTTAAATGCCCTCTTCTTTCCCTGCATGGCCCCAAGGATGGTTGAGGCTGAACAAGCAAACAAGCCACACGATCTTCCTTCTTCCCTCTTGTCTGTTTGAGCCCTCAGTTTATCCTTTAGGCCTCATGCCCTTGCAGGTATGATAGTGGAGGACGTCCCCATGTCACTGGGTGACTTGAGCAGGGATACTGTCTTGATGGGCTAGTGCTCTGTTTTGGAAGCTGTGGGATTGTTTTCCAGAGGGAATTGCCTCTCGGGGCCAAGTATCCAGGACCTGTGAAGGGCCCACCACTTTCATTTTGATAATGGTTGTCTTCCAAGTTATAAGGTAGAGGGTTGCTACAAGGGAGTGGGGAAAGCTGTCAGTACAGTGACAATGCAAAATTATTAGCAAGGGTTCTAATGGAGCAGAGGGACAACTAAAAAGGGCGCCCATCATTCTTTGGTGTAGTGGTTAAGTGTGCGGACTCTAATCTGGGAGAACCGGGTTTGATTCCCCACGCCTCCACTTGCAGCTGCTGGATGACCTTGGGCAAGCCATAGTTCTGTCAGAGCTGTCTCTCAGCCCCATCTACCTCACAGGGTGTCTGTTGTGGGGAGGGGAAGAGAAAGGAGTTTGTCAGCTGCTCTGAGACTCTGAGTGAGGAGTGGGGTATAAATCCAATCTCCTCCTCCTCCTCCTCCTCCTCCTCCTCCTCTTCCTCCTCCTCTTCTTCTTCTTCTTCGACAGGCACCCTGACTTGGATAGCCAGGCTAACCCAATCCCATCAGATCTCAGAAGCTAAGCAGGGTCGGCCCTGGCTAGTATTTGGATGGGAGACCTCCAAGGAATACCAAGGTTGTGATGCAGAGGCAGGCAATGACAAACCATCTCTGAAATGTCTCTTGCCTCAAAAACAAGCTTGCCACCTAGTGGTGCGTAACACTAAGAGCTAGAACTTTTGGGCTGCCAGACAGTCTTAGGATCTCCTGGCTATACTACACACACGCTGCTATATGATAATTATTAATTATTATAATGGACAGGCCTTGACCCAGCCTAGTTTAGGATAGGGTGGGAGGGTTCTGCTAGTTATGCCAGTTAAGAAGCAAGCTTTGCCATAGGATTTGGGGTGCAATATGACCTTGGCTAAAATCAGAGCCACAGGTGGGTGTCCAAGCTTTGTCAGCACAGTTTGGCGACGAGGCTGAAATGCAGGCTGTGTGTGTAGGGGGGAAGGGACACAGGTGCTGACCCCTTCCTCCTCTCCTCTCTGACCTGCCGCCAAATCTTCTGCACCTCCTTTACTTCCACGGTGGTCGCACGTACTGACTTGCATGGATGTTCCCGAGCTGCGAGAGAGGCCTGCGAGGCAGGGATGTGGACCTGCTCCTGTGCCCCGTTGTACCTTCCCCTGAATCTCTCCCCTCCCCCCTCCCCTTAACCTTGGCAGAGCACCTGGGCTGCTTTTTGGAGCACCACACTTTCTGCATGGTCCAGCTAGGCATGTTCAGCCTTGAAGCTTCCAAGCACCGCCCCCCCCTCCCAAAAATACACCAAGCTGCACCCTTCCTACAAAGAGAAGAAGGCTCATTGGACAATGAACCCATAGCTGGCTTGTTTGAGGTGGCCATTCAGGTAGCCTGCGGAAATCTAACTGGGTGGGGAGAGATGATCGTAGGCATGTTCTGTTTGACGAGGGCCTCACCACTTGGGATTTTCAGACGCACGCCCAGCAGTTTCAGAATCTGCAGCTTCGCCCCTGTAGACAGGGTGGGCATCGGCATGCCCTGAGGAGGGGCAGCCCCCCGGGTGCTGGGCAGGGCCCCAGTACTGTCACCCCCACATACGCCCACTTACTGCTCCCAGATGCTCTTGTTACTAGTGCCTAGAGATGTAAAATTTCCGGAAATCTTGAAGCTCGGAAAAAAACCTGGGTTTTTTTCAGAAAAAACGGAAATTTTCGGAAAAATTGAAAAAAATGCTACATTAGCATTTCTTTTGTCTTTTCTAGATTGAAAGTCATTCTGTTACTTTAGGAACATAAAATATGACTATGGACATTTTTACTTGGCATAAAATTATCACAACTAGCATATTAAAAATATAGTGTATCCAAACAATTATTACAAACAGAATACCCACCCACATGCAAAGACAAAACTGAAACCTTTTTCTTTTCTTGTGACAATAGCACCTCCTAAAGGAAGAAATGCATCTTGTTCTTGCATTGGAGAGTTCAGTTTGTAACCTAGGACTTGCTTGTCCTCAGTGCACAGAAATTAGATCAATCTGATACCATACACACACACACACACACACAAGAAATGATTTGGAAAATATTTGAACACCTTGTCTTAAAATATTTTATTCATCATGTTAAAATAAAACGTTCCATAATCAATTTCTTTTCTTTTCTTTTTTCAATTTTTCCAATTTTTTGGAAAAAAACAAAAAGGCTTCAGGAAAAAAATGGGGAACAAACGGGTTTTTTCCCGGGCCTTCACATCTCTACTAGTGCCATTAGTGTAGGTGGCTCTGAGTAGTACTGGTGGTGGGGGAGGTCACAGGCGTTTAGGGGAAGAAGGATCAACGCTGCAATGAAGACTCCCTTGAGTTCTGCAAATAGCCACAGCTGGGAGTCAGCCTGGAACCTTCTCCATCTCCTGGGGCTGAGGAGCCATAAGGGGATGCTCAGCACGGTCCGGCTCTTTCCATCCCATTCCCTTAATTCCAGTGTGAGGGGACTGTGGCAAATCCGAGCAGAATTCAGTCAGGATACGGCCTTGTTGTTAGGCAAAGGGCGGATAGCTTTCTACGGCACAGGGCGGTGGGGTAACGGCCCCACAAGGCCACTGTTCCTAGCGGCCACTGACACTGCTGTCCCAGCGATGACTCTTTTTTTTTTTTAATTACATTTTGCATGCGTTTGAGATGGCAGTGATATATAAATAAAGGTAAAGGTCCCCTTGCTCGAAAGCCAGTCGAGTCCGACTCTAGGGTTGTGGGGCTCATCTCCGTTTCAAAGCCGAAGAGCCAGCGCTGTCCGAAGACGTTTCCGTGGTCACGTGGCCGGCATGACTAAACACCAAGGCGCACGGAACGCTGTTCCCTTCCCACCGGAGTGGTACCTATTTATCTACTTGCAATTATAGGGTGGCACAAATTTGGGGAAACAGACACGGAAGTCACAGCGACCATGGTGTCCCCAGCAGCCACCAAGTGTGGAAAGGAAGTGGCCGTGGCTATAAAACGCCTTCTTTGGATCCAGCATTCTTCCTCGGCCACTAGGATTGCCTTAGCCGTTGTTAAGTCGCCGCCTCCTCATTGGGGGCCAGACAAGAAAGTTGTAGGCAGGAGTTTCCCTGGGTGAATTTGCAGAGCTAAGTAAGTTCTTTAAAAATAAGAAAATCTCCCAATCTGAGAAACCTGGTGAAGCAGCAGAGGGTTTTTTTGGGGGGGATTCAGAGTTCTAAGCACCACATTTTCTAGAGCCTGGGGATTTCAGCCTGCCCTGTAAAGGCAAATAGCTGCAGCCGACAGATATGCAGCCAGTACAGAATGGGATGCATCCCAGGAGGCAGCAGAACTGCTCTCCTGCATTCTGTCCTGCCCAGCCGCGCACCGTCCTGGAAGTGGGCTTGCCTTTGGCCAGCAGGTGAATACTGATTTCTTCTTCTGCCCTGCAGGGAAGCTGACTGGTATGAGTGAGATCACGGAGAAGTTGACCCTGCCCGAAAAATGCCACAGTGACCATGTGATTGTGCAGCAAGTGACGGCGGCCGCCAACGTTAGCCGTGTGCCCTGTGGGTCGGACAAGGAATACCGGTGAGGAGGGGATTCTGATGGGCCAGAATGGTTGTCTCTTTTCCCCTAGTGGCCACCTGGCCTTTTTGGGCCATTACCAGTCTCCTCTGCTATTGGCTAAGCCCTGGTCTCCTCTGCTATTGGTGGTGCCCTGGTCTCCTTGGCTATTGGCTGAGATTCAGAGAGAGATGCACAGATTCCCAGCTTACCTCAGGCTTCACAAAGTCAGAACCCGTCACTATGTGATTTGCGGATATGCTGTTTTAAGTCTCCAAGCTACTTCATTGGGTCTGCTTCCCTCTTACTGCCTGACTTGAGAATCCTGTGGCACCTAAATGCCTGATATTTCAAAAACTGCATATGGGGTATGTCCTTTATTTTGAAACTGGTAACTAGTGCTGAGAGATCCCGGTGTTAAACCACATTGGCCTTTGGCTTTTCCTCACTGGAAATGAATACGGAACCAGTCTGGGGGGAAATTTTTCAATTAATTAATTTATTTTGGGATTTTTATTCTGCCCTCCCCAAAGCGGGCTCAGGGCGGACCACAACAAATCGAGTCAAAGACTCATTGCAATCATCCCATTTTAAAATAATTAAAACAATAAACAATAAAATTGGTAGCAACAATATAAATCTGTTGGTGCCACAAGGTGGAATCAGAATGGGCCCTTTCAGTGGGTTGGGAACTAAAGCAGGGAGGCCAACTAAGATGGATGCCCGCTGCCTCAACTGAAGGACTGGCGGAACAGCTCTGTTTTGCAGGCCGTGTGGAACGATAAAAGGTCCCGCAGGTCCCTGATTTCCAGTGAGAGCTAAATACACCAGGCCAGGGCAGAAAAAGCCCTGGTCCTGGTTGAGGCTAAGTGGATGTCCTTTGGGCTGGGGGTAACCAGTAAATGTTGGTCCTGTGAGCGCAAGGCTCTTTGGGTCACATATAGGAAGAGGCGGTCCTTCAGATATGTCAGTCTGGGAATGTTACTGCTTACCTTCTTGGGTGTTGAGCCATGCTGGCATTTTGCTTTTCCTAGCTAGAAATCAGTCTGGGCACAGAATAAGGGATGTTACTCCTAACTTCTTTGGGTGCAGCAGAGTAAAGATGCTGGGTCTGGGAGAACTTGGTCCACCCGTTGCCTACAATCATGTTGCGATTGTTGCATTGAGGATGGGCAGAGGACTGCAAAGGGTGGCCTTAAGTCATCACGCTCATTGCATCTGTGTGAATGTCTTCTCTCTGCATAGATTTGCTGCGAAGACGGTTAGCAGCGGAAGCCTCATCCTAATCACCCTGGAAAAGAAGGCTGGAAACGCGGTGCACTTGACCATCAACAGTGAGAAGATGCTGATCAGCACCATGCTGGTGAAGGACATCATCCACTCCTTGACGCAATGACCTTGGGTGGCTTCTCCCTCTGGCCGTGTCCACGTCCAACGTCCCACCCTCCTTTCCTTTTCTGTCCCCAGCCATGCCCTTGATTCAGCCCCCTGCTGTCCCCGCACCCGGCTTGCCCTGCTGTATTGTTATGTCCCTGTGTTAAAGAACAGGTAGAGTCTAAGAGAGGGGAACAGGGAATAATTCACCGTAGCTCACGGGGTGCAGCCACTGGGGTGGATAATGGGAGTTGGCACAGCAGCAAATAGAAGTTTTTTGTGGGGGGATGCTGAAGGTTTCTCATGGTTCCTGTACCTTTGCTGTGGGGTGGGGGGTGGGGGGGTGTTCCCTTCCGTTCCTCTAGTTTCTGTTTTGTGGCTGTATTTATTATGGACAGAGACGTTTCAATAAACTTCTTCCTGCAACTGGCTCTTGCTTGCTGACTCTTTTGTATGGAGTCCTCGGGGCAAAAGCTGAGAGGTGGAGTTTTGAGCAAGCTCTCTTTTTGGTCCCGTCTCCCTGGCAGCCTCCCCCACTGTCAGTATCTCTCCATCTATTATAGGTCACAAGGGCAAGGAGCCAAGAGGCTGGGAGCAATGAAATGTCAGACGATGCTGCCGGCTGCTGGACCGTATCTTTAAAAATGCATCACTGGCATATAATATTGATATTCATGCAGGCCTGAGCAGACTTGAATCTACATACTGCAGTCATGTGGGTTTTTTTAATTCAAAGTTTTATTATTTTAACATACACAATAACAATATATAACAGGGTGACTAAAGTCAAGAAAATATAGTGCAAGAGGTATTTACATAACAACTGTGGAAACAACATAATGCATGGCCAAATTGTACCTTAAATCAATGTCTTTAGCACAGGAGTATCACCAATTTCAAAAATACAGTAGGTTTGTAAGGTGTTCATTTTTGGGGATGATTTCACCTTCCTGCAGTCATGTTTTCACATGCTTTTTTTTGTTTTTGTTTCCAGAAATGAGTTTTGGAAAATCTACAATCCCATATTTGCAAAACTAAACAAGGGTGTGTGTACGTACACTTCTGCTGTTCCTTTAGCTAGAGAATGGCTTCCTCACAACTTAATGAATCTGCCCTTTGTACTACCTTCTAGCCTATCACTGGCCTGTTCCGCATTTGCCCGCCACTCCGGATTTTCTCAGTGTTTGAGTCAAGGCAAACAGCATCCAAATAACCAAGGGCAACTGCAGGCTGAAACCGGGCTGACCACTGAAGGGAGGTAACGTAATGCAGAATTGGGTGGGGGGATAAAAAGAAGGTTGGACTCAATTTTAGAGCAGAATGGGAAAAAAGATCTGGATTAGAAAGAAGGTTGAATTCGATTTTAGTGCTGAATTGCTTGGAGGACACCGCGGTGAATGTGGATTAAAAGGAGAGTACAGAAAGGGCCGTAGTTTCAAAGGGTAGCCGTATTGGTCTGCAGTAGAAGAGCTGGATTCGAATCCAGTCACACCTTAAGAGATCAACAAGGTTTTCAGGCAGCGTTCCCTCTAAGATGAGAGTTAGCATGAACTAGCTCACAGTTTTTTAGCCTCCGGCTCACGCATTTTTGTCTTAGCTCAGGAAGGAGGGCTCCAGAGCAAACTGATTGATGCAGTAGCCAAATAGCTCGCTCACAACTTTAATGCCAGTAGCTCACAAAGTAGAATTTTTGCTCACAAGACTCCGCAAGCTTAGAGGGAGCATTGGTTGCAGGGTGTATGAGCTTTCGAGTGTCAACGGTTCCTTTCGTCTTCTATCTGATGAGGGGAGCTTTGATTCTTGAATCTTACACTCCTCAAGTCCTGTTGGTCTGTTACTGGACTCAAATTGAGCTTTTCTTATCCTATCATGTTCATTTCTCCTTGTAATGTCTGTGGCCCAGGAAGGAGCGCCAGCTTCCTGCCGACACCGGACCAACGTTGGTGTTCTATCAGAATTACGAATTTGGAGCAGCTAGACTGAGAAAGACCCTCTTTGCAGCAGTAGCGGAGAGAGATGCTCATAGCGGAGTTGCATCAAGAAGGCCTCTCGAGGATGGCCTACTCTCTGCCAGTTACTGAGCGCCATCTCCTGTTTAGGACCCATACCTCGACCAGTTTTCAAGACAAACACTGTGGTGTCTCTGCTACCACTCTGCTCGGCCAGGTTCAGAGCTTTCCTCCAGCTTCAGGGGCCTTCCGCTGGAGGAAGAGCTTCAGCCTGGGCCGAGCGGAGTGGTAGGATCAAACCCAACGAAGTGCTTTTCATCTCCTGCAGACCAGGGCTGTGTCGTCAAGCAAAGGGGGCGTCGCCATTCCCCCCGTCTCATTTCAGCTGGCATCTGTTGGAAGAGAAAGATCCATGTGCTTATTCAGCACCGTGTGTTTCCTCACATTTTTTTGCCACAGCCACATCAGGAGGTTAATCTCCCTCTACACTGCATGCTGCTTTCACTTTCTTTGTTCATCGGGTTTTATGGTATCTTCTGCATAGATTTATGGCCCTTCAGGGGTGACTTCACAGTCAGTGCGGCATTGCCCTGGGGTATCTGAATGTGCTTTTGAGCAGCACCCTTTCCTTCCTCCGCTTCCGATTCCAAGGGAACAATAAGCAGACAACTTGACACGGCTTCATTGATCTCCCATCAGTTCCCCCGTCCTTATTTCCCCCTCTGTATTTATCACCTCACCATGAATTACTTAGCTCAGGAGGCTAATGACTGCTGAGGCAAGTACTGACACAGGAAAATCTTCATACCAATGGAAGAGCTAGCGTTGAAAACAAAATAGATGGCAAGCTGACACTAGCCAATGTAGAAACCAGCAATGCAATGAAAACAGATATTTCAAGGCAAGGGGGAACCAGGTTGAGTGTTGATAAAATGTGGAGTGAATACCAGATGCTGTCTCTTAGCCTCAGCCTCCGGGGGGGGGGTTACAAGACAGATAGATTGATGGGCAAACTGTGGGTTTCCTTCCTGTTTACTCTTCTGCCTCTGTCCCGTTGATGTGTAGACTGCTACTCTCAGGGAATTGCTTCCTTCCTTCCATTCACACTTCTCTCTTGTGCACACACAAAGAAGGAACATGTGGCTCTCCACTTTTGGCACCATGGATGCTGGACATGCATCTCTGCATCCGCATCCATCCTAGGTAGTTTAGTTGCAGCCTATCCCTATCTCTCACCTTTACTATCTAAAATGGAGTTCCCTAAATAAAGAACTCTCCATTATTTTGAAGCTGACAAGTGGCTCTGTGTAACTCTGTAACTTTGCTAGCACATGTAGAACAAAAGAGACACTCTGCTGTATATAGCCTTTAGGGCACTCTGCTACAACAGAATACAGATTACTGGCTTACTACACCAGTGAATCTATTTATTAGTATCAACTTTCCAAGCAGGAGAACAACGGCATGCAGCCTGGGAAGCTGGATACCTGAGCCTAGTAGCCAGTTGGGCACAAATCCATTCCATGTTCCTTCATCTTCGGAGAAATTAAGGTCCCCAGGACAGGTGACTGCTGAGCTGCCTGTTTTCCTAGCGAGAGATGGTGCCCTCCTAGGCAGAGTTCCACTTTTCCAAATCCGTTTAAGGCCAATGGGCTGAGAAAATCGGGAACGTGAAACTCTCTCGTCTGCCAACTCCAAAAGGCATTATGCTGACTGCAAGAGAAAAGAAAAACCGGGACAAGACAAAGCATGGAAAAGTTGGTCTTAAAGGACTCTTAAAGTGAGTACTTACTGACCCACAGAGGAAGACAGCAGCAATGAGCCGTAAGTACTCCTGTCCCAGGGGCCCTCTGCAAAGACCGAGTCTGGCAAGGGCAGAACAGTTTCTGCAGTGGTGCCAGATTAGAAAGTTGCCCAGTCATCCAACACCGTGACTGACTCTGAAGAAGCCTGATCTTGAACCTTAAAATCATTTAAGACAAAAAAAAATCTGGTAACTAGAAAAGAGCATTCTCAAATGGCCCTGGAGCTCGGATGAGCACAATACAGGAACTTTGCTGACGTTAATGCAGGTCTGGGTGCAAAACAGGGTGTGGATGGGGCAATCTATGGGGGATCCCCAGGTAGGCCCCTTTGAGTGGCATCATAGAAACGTAAACATTTTGTACTAATAGCTATGGGATTCTGTGCATCATGGACACTGCATCATGATGGCTCTGCGACAACAACCCAAACCTGAACTTGGTATGTGTGCCATTCAAGCCTCTCCAATGACTAGCAAATTTGAAAATGTAACTTTTGTAAACCGCTGAGAAGCGTGATGCAGCAGAACGAAGTTTGAGTCCAGTCAAGATAAAGGAGGAGGAGGAGTGGGTTCTTATACCCTGCTTTTACTACTCAAAGGAGTCTCAGAGCGGCTTACAATCACTGTCCCTTCCTCTCCCCACAACACACACCCTGTGAGGTACGTGGGGCTGAGAGAGCTCTGAGAGAACTGTGACTGACCCAAGGCCACCCAGCTGGCTTCATGTGGAGGAATTGGGAATCATATCCGGCTCTCTGGATTAGAGTCTGCCACTCTTAAACACTTATTGCCCACTTATTTATGCATCTTTTTTTTTTTAATAAAGGTTTTATTAGCTCCCCTAAAAAGGGGAGGTATTTCGCTTAAAAGAAAAAAAGGGAAGGGTAGACAGTGGGAGGAAGAGAAAGCTGAGTGATATATAAACTGGTAAATTAAACTGTTAGTAATATCCAATTAATCTTCTTAGGCTTCTTCTGTGTTGCCAAACTTCTTTTCTTAGTCCTGTTACACGTATTCTCTGTTAGTATGTTAGTAATGTTCCTTTGAGATTCTGTTAATAAAAAGGATCTCTTCTGTGCACATTCAGAACCGCTTCTTTGCGTGCTGGGTACTTTTACTATCGCTGACGTGGAGGAGCTTCCTCTGTTGTCTTCTCCTTCCGGCTTGTTAGATCCTCCTTCGGGTTGTTGTTAATACGCTCAGTTCATGTACTATAAATCCTCTTCTTTTCATGCCATTACCGGAGGTCCCCAGTTTCGAGAATGGTATCAATTTCATTTTCGCTTTTATATTCGCTCCCAGACTCTCTATGGGTCCTCCTCGCAATTGTTGACTTATAAGCGCTTGTCAGGCACTTCTCGCTGTCACAATTCCAACTTATCTTTTTTACAAAACTCCCGTCGGATTCACAGCCATAAACAGTCCAAACATTCAACAGCCGGCTCTCGCACATAAACAAAACGCCCAGAGGAAGTCCCTCCCTTCTTCTCCGCTCGCTTTTGCCCAGCTCCGACATCTTTTCTTTT